GAACCCAACCTATACCTTACAGGATAATTCCGCCCATTGCCTTTTCAATCGTTTACTCTGCCCTACTGACGAAAACAAATCGCATTGCCAGGATATTAGCCGGGAGCAAGAAACGAATTCTCACAAAGAAACCTCGTTTTTTGAGCACTTTTTCTCAAGTAAGCTGAGACGGTCTTTACTTTTTGTGATTTGTTATTGATTTTATTGATAATCTTTTGCTTAGGTGGTTATCACCTGGATTCTGGTTGGTATTCAGTGTGTGATTGTGGCTGTGGGTGTACTACGGGAATGGCCATCAGCCGGCTTTTCCTCTCATTATCTCCCACATCGGTAGAGATTTGGCTTCATACAAACAAATCCTTGCATAAAAACATTTCATGAAATATTGCAGCTGAACTTTAAGTAGGGTATACCTTTGATATATTTAAAGATCTAGAAGAAGCGGATAATTCTTCGAAAAAAAAAATCAGCTGTAAGTTCACCATCCCCTAACGCTGACAGGAGCAGTAGAGTTAAAGTACAGAGTATGCGCAATTCTATACTGCATACGTAATTAGGAACTAATCTAGAAATTTTTATTAAGCTATCATCTTATTCCGCTAGTTTGTGATGCGCCGGCAAACCCAGTCAGGTTACAAAAAACCTATGACTAAACTGAGTCTCCAAAAGCTCAATCACTGAAAACTCATTTCTTTTCTTAATTTGCTATTATGCGTAAGAACAGTTGTAAAGTATATCCAGTTCAACTTCAATTAATTAGCAAAGCATACAATGTCTGCTACAGTTATGATGGAAAATGCAATTATTTTTATGAGTTGTCATATTTGCAAAGTTTTTTGAATGGTTTCAAGTAATCCCATCGTATCTCTAATGTGGCAGTTGTGCGGGAAATGAGCAAAGGATTTGTGGACCTTGACTTCATGAACTCTTCCTTGCTATGAAAAATAAAGGCCAATTTGCAAACTTCCGTTGCATTCCATAATCCTACCTTATCTACATTAATAATAACAATTTCAAGTATGCAAATTATCAGGCTAACTAGCGACTTCTGGATATTTATCCAACTCCCACCGTAAAATCCTACAATATTTTGAAGAATACGCGGCATTTGTGATTAGGAGGTTTAACAGTCTAATGTAAAACCCATTTTACATACTTTTCGTAGTCATAGCTTAATACTAAAGTAAAACTCCTGGTAAAAGTGGGTATTCGTAGCAAGTTATCCACGATTATGAAGCTTGCGTATGGCTTTTGGTGAAGCAGCGTACTTCTACAGTATACCTATAATGGAAACATGTAGCGCGCAACTTCTTCTACTTCCACTATTTTTCATCAATATTTTCAGCCTCGTGCTTGTATGTACCACATCGTCAGGCTCATTTTTAACACCTTTCATGTGGAATCTCTTTCTGATCTCATTATGTACACTTTATGCGGTAAAAACTCGAAATCTACCTGAAAACTTCAATGAGGCCAAATTTATAGGATTTACTATGTGAGTCGCATATATCTCTATTTTGAGTAATCTTAATATTACGCTTTGCTCTAGGTACTGTACATTGGTGGTTTGGATTGCTTTCATTGTGCTACATATGGGTACTGTGAATAAAGCGCTGACAATGAGTTTCTCATTCTCTTTGTCCGCGTCTATACCTCTAATATTGTTATTTTTCCCTAAACTTTATATTATACTTCTACATCCGGAAAAGAACGTTCGATCTTCGTATACTACGACGAAATTAATACGGTAGGTAATTCCAGGGATTTTTTGCTGCGAGATCCAATTTGTATTGTTGAAAGAATAATTTCAGATGTCATTTTGGTAATTCACAAGGAGCTTATGATAGTAAGCATCTATCAAGTAAAACTACTAGAACATCAGTGCAATCAGCGTCAGTGAGGTTGGTCACGAAACTTCTAATTTTAAATCTTTAAAGTTGGGATCTTTTTAACAAATAGAATATCGTATTCTTCGGATGCTTTTCTCAGTATTTGAGCAATTCTCTCCTAATTTTTTGCGTTTTTCAAACAATAAAGAAAGTAGGTTAACAGTTCTAGAAGTTCGACAAAATCATCAAGCTTGGCTGGCGGTGGTGGTGTTACGCGAACAGCCTCTGTTCATGTACCAGTGACAAATATTAAAGGTCCAATACAAGTGGATAACTCGACGCAAACAGACAGTGAGTTTATATTGTTGTTTATACGGTAAACGATAGATCTCCATGTAATCGATAATCGATTGAACTTACTTGTGATCTGCATTCTTTTCATTTTTCGGTGGAAAATTTGCGAGGTCTTTTTCGATAGTGGGAAAGAAGAAACCAGTCGACGAAGATGTGGCTCAGCTGGTTGAAGCTTGTCGGCGATATACGGTAAGCTTATGAATAAATCGAGT